CCCCCCCCCCCACCTGAGAGCCAGCCATAGTGGGGAGGAGAAATCTCTTGGGTGGGCTCGGGTGAGGTGGGGTTCTCGCTAGGACATCTGCTCAGGCCCTGCTCCCCCAGTCCAGGCCCCCAGGACCATTACCCAGGAGACACCAGACATCCAGCCCCCACTTAGCTGCTCAAGCAGCAGCTGCTACCCGCCCACTGGTAACCTGGTCATTGGCCGCCGCCTCCAGGCCTCCTCTACTTGTGGCCTCCGTGGTCCTGAGCCCTACTGTGTGGTCAGCCACCTGCAGGTGGGGAGCTGGGTCAGGGTGCTGGAGCTCGCCTTTGGGAGCGGGAGTTGGGGGGGGGGGGCTGGAAAAGTCCAGTCTTGTGAGGGCCCAGGTCACTTCTGGAAAATGGGGGGGACCGGGGGCAGCTGTGGTGAAATTTGGGGTAGGGGCTTGTCTCCCACCTCCTGCCCAGCCAGTCTACTTGGGCCCTCCCCCAGGACTCTGAGAATTGCTTCTTCTGTGACTCCTGGGCCCAGCAGGGCCACGGCATTGAGAATGTGGTCTCCAGGACCGGCCAGGACGGCTCAAAGAACTGGTGGCAGGCGGAGAGTGGTGAGGGTCCAGCGAATCCGAAGCCCTAGGTGCGGGCCTGGGGTCGGGGCGTGGTCTCTGATCAGTCCGTAATGCACAGGTGTTGAGAATGTCTCCATCCAGCTGGACCTCGAGGGAGCGTTCTCCTTCACCCACCTCATCTTGACCTTCAAGGTGACCCAGTGCCCCACCCTGAAGGCTTGGGACACAAGCTCCGACCCAATGGCTGCCCTACCCCATGGTCACGAGTGGTCCCTGCTCCTGTCCCCAGACATTCCGCCCAGCGGCTCTGCTCCTAGAGTGCTCCACGGACCACGGCCGCTCCTGGCGCGTGTATCGGTACTTTGCCCACAACTGCTCAGACCTCTTCCCTGGGATCCCTCCTGCCCCTGGCCACAGGGTCAGTGACCTCGTCTGTGACCAGCGCTACTCAGACATCGAGCCTTCCACTGAAGGCAAGGTTAGGCCAGCGGGGGGTGTGTGTGTGGGGGGGGGGAGGGCGGGGCTGGGGTTGTAGTCAGTGGGGCCCTAGGATAAAGTTAAGAGTCTTAGGCTCCCTGTTTCCTCTCAGGTCATTTTCAAAGTTCTGGACCCAGCCATTCCAGTGGAGGACCCAAATAGTCCTGAGGTTCAGGGTAATCATCCCTCACGGCCTGGCGGATACCCTTTGCATGCCAGTGAGCCAGACACTCGGTGGGGAGAGGCAAGCCCCTGCCCGGCAGTGTGCACCGGTGGGGCAGAGTGGGTAGACGAGCACCTCAGTTCTCCCTAGCAGGGTCTCACTGGGGTCCTCCTCTGTGTCCTGTCATGGCCCACCCTCTCTCCCCCATTGCACCCCCACCCCTCCGTGTAAAGAGAGTAGCATGGGAAGCAGTCCTCACCTGTCCTGGATCCGTGGGACCCCATCTCGGCACCCCTCCCTCACTGTCTCTCACAACTTCCCCCTTTGAAGGACCCCTGGTCCTAGCACCACCCCTCTCCACTGCCGCTCCTGCTTACCTCCTGAGGTGCCCATCTCTGTCAGTGCCCTTTGTCGCTGCAGCTGCCTCTAGGTGGCACCAAGGTGTCTTTGGATCGGATCCCTTCCCTGAAAAGCAGATGCCTCTTCTTAGTAGAAAAACAGCAACCAACTAAACTCACTGCCATCGAGTCAATTCTGACTTGTAGCGACCTTATAGGACAGGGGAGGACTGTCCCTGTGGGCTTCCGAGACTGTAACTCTTTATGGGAGTAGAAAGCCTTGTGTCTCTCCCACGTGGCTGGTGGTTTTGAACTACAGACCCTGTGGTTAGCAGCCCAACACGTAACCATGACGCCACCAGGGCTCAGATCTTAGTTAATACAGGCAAGAGTCACATAACACAGCAGGGTATCCCAGAGCCAGGCCCAGAGAGAGCCGGAGGACCAGTCCCAAACGAAGTTATCCTTGCATCTGCTGGGCCTTTTTCACACACCCCAACTGCTGAGCATGACCGGCTGCCCAGCCAGGCCTCCGTACCTCCCCAGGCAGCTGCTGCCACTCAGGAGAGAAGAGGCCTGACAGAAGCAATGAGGAAGATTGTCTCACCCGAGCTCAGTAACTCACAGGCTGTGGAAGAAAGAGGAATCCTAGGCCCATCCCTTGAGCCACAGGTCCACTTAACAAGTACCTGCTGGGCCCTGCCCTGGGCTGGTCATCCTCTGGGCAGTGCCCCACGGGGGGTGGGGTGGGGGTCTGAAACAAGGGTGTCTCTTTTCTTGGAGCCAACGGTGAGAAAGACTGCTATAAACCTTATGCGTTTCAGCTAGTTCAATGATGAGCTGGAGTCCAGGTAGGATGGCAGACGGGGGAGGATCCTCTGCTGCTGTGGGAAAGCAGGGCTGTGGTACCTGGAGACACCAGATGGGGGTACTCAGGAAGTAGCAGGACGTGTAGGTCTTAGCCCAGCGCCGAGACTGACAAAGGAGATGGGATTCTCGCTGTGGATGAAGCCTCTGGTCATCCTGGGCGGGTGCCCCTAGGTGATCTGGGAGCCCACAGTATGGGTGCTAGAGGAGGTAGTGGCCAGGATGGGGGGGGAGAGTTCCCCCCGCCCCCCACTCCACCCCCTACCCCCGTCTCCCCTGCCCCATCAGAAGAAATGTGAGGACCAAGGCACCTGAGGTCTGCCTGTGTCCCCAGAACTGCTACGTGTGACCAATCTCCGGGTAAACTTCTCCAAACTTCACACACTGGGGGATAGGCCCTTGGGCGGCCTCAAGGGACACCCTTTCTATTACTATGCCATCTACGAGCTTGTGGCCCAGGGCAGCTGCTTGTGCCACGGCCATGCCTCTGAGTGCAGGCCTGCACCAGGGGCCCCAGCCAGCGTGGAAGGCATGGTGAGAACCGAGGAGGGGCATCCCATGGCCTGGGGGTGGGCAGGGGGTGCAGGCTGGAGGACTGGGGCAGACATACCCTACCCTCCTCTCTGCCAGGTACATGGCCTCTGCCTGTGCCGCCACCACACGGCCGGTGCCAACTGTGAGCGCTGTCAGGACCTGCACCAGGACCAGCCGTGGCGTGCTGCCGAGCCCGGGCAGCCCCATGCTTGCCAGGGTAAGTGCTGTGTCCTCTTCTGCCTGAACATGCCTGTTGTGGGTCCACTGGCCACATGCCCGCCTCCTGTCTGCCCAGAATGCAAGTGCCATGGCCACGCCCACAGCTGCCACTTTGACATGGCTGTGTACCTGGCTTCCGGCAACGTGAGCGGAGGCGTGTGCAACGCGTGCCGGCACAACACGGCCGGGCGCCACTGTCAGCTCTGCCTGCCCTTCTTCCACCGCGATTCCCAGGAGGACCCCCGCTCTCCTCGCTCCTGCAGACGTGAGTCCTCGATGCCCCAAACCCAGCTCCGCTCACAATTCTTCAGCTCCATGCTGACCTCCGACAAGACTTGTTCTCACCTTTGACACCCCCGCGCCCCCCCAATAGCTTGCGACTGTGACCCCGTGGGCACTCTGGAAGGAGGCTTGTGTGATACCCACACAGACGAGACCCGAGGCCTTCTCTCCGGGCAGTGTCGCTGCAAAGGCGGTGTCTGGGGCCGGCGCTGTGACTCCTGTAGGCCTGGTCACTATGGCCTGAGCCCCACTCAGCCAGAGGGCTGCCAGCGTGAGTGACTCTGCTGCCAGATTAAGCATGCATCACCCCAGTCACCTCATTAGCACCCTGAGAGGGCTGTGCCTTATAGCCTGCAGGTGTGACCCCCGGGGCCGTGTTCCCGGAGCCCAAGCCTGTGATCGCTCCAGCGGTGCCTGCCACTGCAAACGCTTTGTCTCCGGACGGGACTGCAGTCGCTGTCTGGTGAGCCTCCACCAAACCCCTGATTTGATCTTGACTTTGGACACTGAGCTTCTAGGAGCTGATGACTACAAAGCAACAGTCAATTGACTGTAGACTGAGCCTGGCTCCTGGGTACCAAGGGCCTGATCTGGTGACCAGAGTCAGTACTCCCTTGGCTGACAGAGTCATTCTATCTCTCAGGAGACCATTCAGTGAGACACAACACAGTTACATGCTGGAGTTAAAGATGTGTCCTTGTGACTATGTTTGGAGCATCCTGGTCCAGTCTCCTAGCATTGTCTTGAAGGCTATAAACTCTTGTTTATGAACTCTTTGTTTAACTCTGGCCGAATTCTCGGCTCCTTCCTGCTTCCTCTCAGTAAAGCTGTGGGAGAGTACACCAGGGTCTCCATCCCCCCCTTCAGCTGCAGGCAGGCCAAGGGCATTCACATCCTGCCCCCCACGCCTCTCCCTGCTCTCTCCCCTCCCTTAACCTATCCCTGCACCTGGAGGCAGGCAGGGGCCTATCCTGACTTCATGGCCGGCCCTTCCCGCCCATCCACCTACTCTCTCCTACAGCCCGAGTTCTGGGGACTGAGCAGTGACCCTCCAGGCTGCCGGCCCTGTGACTGTGACTTTGGGGGTGCCTACAGCAACAGGTACGGAGCACGGCCTGAGGGTAAGAGTTCAGGAGGTGGCCTGGCCCCTCATGTGCCTCCCCACCCCCTTCCCCCTTCTCCCATTTGTGTAGGTGTTCTGCAAGGGAGGGCCTCTGCCAGTGCCGCCCGCACCTCCGAGGCCGCCGCTGCCGTGAACTCCAGTCCGGACACTTCTGTGCTGCCCTGGACCAGGCCCTGACAGAGGCCGAATTTGGCGAGCACCTTCAGCCCACTGACCCTCGGCTGCCTGTGCGTGCTGGAGGGCCAGGGGCAAGATGAAAGCAAGGCTGAGGCCTTGGGACCCTGAGGAGGGGAGGGAGCGTCCTGGGTGGGGCGAGAGCCCCATGCAGAAGACAGAGGGCCTTGTGGGAGAGGAGCTGGGCGGGGCTGGGAAGGTTGGTGGGCATCATCATGGTTAGGGGTTTGGCGTTTTGGATAGAGCCCATATTTCCAGGGTAGGACAGTGCCAGGATGCTGGAGGGCACTGATACTCCACGTGCCCCACTCCCCCAGGGAGCCCCCTGGCCCACTCCTCCCCACTGCCCACAAGCCCCAGGCCCCTCTGCTGGCCGGCTCCAGCTCCGGCTTCGAAGACAGCGTTACCCTCAGTGTGCCCTCCACCCTGCCTGGCAAGCCCGTCGCAGCCGACAGCGGCCCAAGGTGAGAAGTCTGAGGCCCAAAGTGTGTGTGTGTGTGTGGGGGGAGTGTCACCGGTTACTAAGGGGTCTTAGAGGAGATGAGGGCTCAAGCCCTGAAGGCCATAGGTCTTGGGTATGGGACTCTGTGCCTCACACTGCAGTTCCCAGTAGAGCCCCTGCCCTGGCACCAGGTGGCCAACCCTGCATGGCGGAACAGCTTGAAATTTGCACGTGTGGTTGATGGAGCTGGCCTCTCCCTACTGGCACCTGCAGTGCCCCGAGCCCTGGAGTATGACATTATCCTACGCTATGAGACCCAAGTCAGTGGCATGGATGCCAGGTGGGCGGATGGGTGGTGCTGGGTGGCAGGTAGAGGCAATTGCTGGTCTCCTGACACCTGACCCTTGACTCCAGGCACCTGGAGACTGGCAGGCACTGGTCAGTGTCCGTGTCGAGTCCTTGCCCAGTAGCACCCGCTGCGGCCGTGCACTACCCTCAGAGCAACTGACCCAGGCCGCCCTGCCCCATGCACACAGGTAGGCAGGACCCTGGGACCCCAACCCCTAGATCGCACTCAGCTGGCAGCCCGTTAGAAACAATCCTAACACCACACGGGACAATGACAGGGTGGGATGTTGGCATGTCCTAGAGACAGCCCACTGGTTAAAATTGGGGCGTCGTGTGGTCATTCTCCATTGGCTGCATCCTGAAAAGGTTGGGTTCAATAACCCCACAGCGGAATTGCAGCATCGCGGGGACCCTACCCCGTCTTCTTTCCGCACCCACCTCCCTGCTCCCCACAGGGCTGTGGCTCTCTCCCGGCCTTTCTGCTTTGAACCTGGAACGCGCTATTCCTTGACACTGCGGCTATGGCGGACCAAGAGTGTATGGGGACCAGAAGGGGGTGCCATCCTTCTGGATTCTGTGAGGTTCTAGGGGCTCTATCTTACATCTTGGGGACACATGGAGGAGACACACGTGGGGGCCTTGGGGCTGGAGGCAGGGGATGACAGAGGTCTAGGGTTCGCCCAAGCGGATTGAGGTCATCTGTGAGCATGGGGAGGAGAAGCAACACAGGTAAAGGATGGGAGGAGAGGAGAGGCAGGGAGGGCCTTCAGGAGCCAGCTGTGAGAAGGTCGCAGTAGGGAAGGAATGAGGGGATGTTGGCTATCTGGGAGGGGGTCCCTAATGGAAGCAGCTCTCATGATGATGAGGGACAAGTGGTATTGCCTGGACACAGTTGGAGTCATTGAAATGGGAGGAGAGAGGCCTGGATGAGACTAGGAGACAGAAGGGGCACAGGAGGGACAGGGCGGGCTGACCAAGCCAGGAGGGGAAGGTGTGGGGGTGTGGGCTCACTGCCTCCAGTCCGCTGCTTCCCACCCCTCCCACCAGCTTGTTCTCCTGCCTCGGGTGGAGGAGTTGCCAGGGCTGCGGTCAGTGGACCCAGGGGCCGCCCAGCGCCTGCAGGAGCTTCACCAGGGAGGCTGCTTGGAGGCAGCAAGGGCGGGTCCCTCCAGCACCATGCCAGGGGCCTGTGCCCACCTGGTCTGCAGCATCTCGGCCCTGCTCCACGGGGGTGGCCTCGGTGAGCGTGCACTCCTTGCTGACGGCACCTCGGGCAGGGACTGCCAGCGCACCGTGACGTTCATCCAACCTCGCTCTCTCCTGCCAGCGTGTGAGTGCCACCCTCAGGGCTCATTGAGCACCGAGTGCGCCCTGGTGGGTGGGCAGTGCCCCTGCCGTCCCCATGTCATTGGTCGTACCTGTAACCGCTGTGAACCTGGGACGTATGGCTTCGGACCTACTGGCTGTCGTGGTAAGCCTTCAGGGGCAGTGTGCATGAGAGGTGGGCAGGTGGGTGGGGTCAGGCATCTCTTTTCCCTCATGGCTCGATCATCCTGCCACTCCTCAGACTGCCACTGCCACGCCGAAGGTGCCACCAGTGCCACCTGCAACCCTCTGAGTGGGCAGTGCACATGCCGGGCAGGCCTTGCTGGTCGCCGCTGTGACCACTGCCACCCTGGCTGGTGGGGGTTCCCGCGGTGCCAGCCCTGTGCCTGCAATGGGCATGCTGAGCTGTGCCACCCACTGACGGGTGTCTGCCAGGCCTGCCAGGGAGCTACCACGGGCCGGCACTGTGAGCGGTAAGCGCTGCCACGGGAAGGGTTGGGCAGGAGCTGTGAGTGCAGAGCAGACCGGACCCTACCCACCTGCTCCTGCCCTTAGGTGCCTGGACGGCTACTATGGAGACCCTATCCTGGGCTCAGGCCAGCAGTGCCGGCCCTGCCCCTGCCCTGGGTATCCTGCCTCTGGCCTCTATTACGGTAGCTCTTGCCACATGGACAGCGTGAGCGGGCGTGTCCTGTGCCTCTGTGCGCCTGGCTATGCAGGTGAGCGGCTGTCTGTCTGTGGTGGCCCCCGTGGCTCTGGTCATGGGGTCATGGGGTCAGTCTTTGTCAATGCTGCCTGTTTGCTGGGTGGCAGCAAGCTGGGGGATTCCATGCTGGGAGGGGAGGGTCAAACGGGGGTGGGGCTTCTCAGCCTGGCCTGCCAGGCCGCCCCCAAACACCCACTCCTCTTTAGGTCCCCGCTGCGACCGATGCTCCCCTGGCTACTTTGGGCGCCCTTGGCCAGAAGGGGACCCCAGAAGGAGTCCGTGCCGGCCCTGCCAGTGTAACAACAACATTGACCCCCGTGACCCTGCTGCCTGTGACCCCCACAGTGGGCACTGCCAGCGCTGTCTGCACCACAGCCATGGCCCTGGCTGTGCCCACTGCAGGCCTGGCTTCTATGGCAGTGCCCTGCGCCCGAGGGGCTGCCAGCGTGAGTGGGGGGAGGGGGAGGTGAAAAGAAGACTTGGGTGGGTGGTAGATGCTCCCCTTCACAGACCCCTGCCAATCCCTCCCTCCCCTCAGGCTGCAGCTGCGACTCCCGGGGCACTGTCCCCACACAGTGCCCAGCTGGGGCTGAAGCTTGCTTCTGCAACCAGGCCAGTGGGCAGTGCCTCTGCCGCCCCCACACCTTGGGGCGGGACTGCAACCGCTGCGCCCCCCTTTTCTGGAACCTGGGTGGCTCCCAGGGCTGTGAGCCCTGTGGCTGCCATCCCCAGCATGCTCTGCAGCCGCTGTGTCACCCAGTGAGTGCACTCTTGCAGTACATGGCACGTGACTGCGGCCAGGTGTGAGTGAATGTGCGCACGCCTGTGACAAGGTGTGTTTGACTTGTGGCTGGTGGGAGTGTCCATGAATGGCCAGTCCACAGCCCAGTGTGCCTGCTCTCCAGGTGAGTGTGTGAGGTGAGCAGGTGGTGGTGGGGCCTGAGAGAGCCCGGCTGTACAACTGCCTGTGCCTGAGGCCGTGTGCATCAGTGTGGGAGTGTGTGTGTGAATCACTCACTGGGCGTGTGTATGTCCTGGCCAGGGAGTGAGCAGTGCAGGGCTGGGGGCTGGGGACGAGGCTGAGCAGCAGCAAGGGACGGACACACAAAGGCAGTGTTTCCGGGAGATTGTTAGGCACTGCGTGCCGTGGGGCTTGAAGTCTGTTTTTCATTCTTGACAAGGAGGAGGTTGGGCGTCAGATGCAGGGTGTGGGGGCAGCAGGGAGCGAGGGCTTGGGAGACAGTAGGGTACAAGGCTCAGGCTGCAGAGAAACGAAGGACAGCAGGGCAGGAGACAACATTTACCCTGGCAGTTGCGGGCTGACCTTGAGCAAGGTGGGAAGTGGCCGAGGGAACCAGGCCAAAGGAGGTCTTTAGATGGGAGGGACGCCCTTCAAAAACAGGGTGGGTGCCACCTGGGGTCTGAGAGGTGCTTGAGAAGATGGGTGGGGTGGGGTGGGCAGGCATGCAGACTGCCTGATAGGTCCTGATACAGGCCTTTGCTCTCGTCCCCCAGGTCACAGGCCAGTGCCCCTGCCGGGCAGGATTTGGGGGCCGTACATGCTCTCAGTGTGAGGAAGGATATTGGGGTGACCCGGAGAAGGAGTGCAGAGGTAAGAGGGCACTCGTACAGTCCACCAGCGGAGGTGAGGCTATCTGGTAGGGGGAGTAGCAGCAAAGCAATTGAGGTTTTCCCAGCTTTGCCAAAATGCGAATGAAAACAGCTGTGGGGAAACGGTATAGGCAAGGCCAGGGATACCCCAAGAGAGGACCCCGGTGGGCAGCTCCTTTCTGCCCCCACCTGCCAGCCCTGGCCCTGGCTGACCCCTGGCTAGGCAGGAGAGACTCCGGATCCCTACAGAGGCTGCCTCGCCAGCACAGCCTTCTGGGCCAGTGCTCTCACAGGGGATAGAGGGGGTGGGGTGGGGGACTGGGGGGTGTCCTCATCCTTCTGCCACCTCAAGGCCAGCCTGTCCTGCCCCTCTCTCGTTGTAGCCTGTGCCTGTGACCCTCGGGGCTCTGTCTCACCCAGATGTGACCCGCACATGGGCGCCTGCCTCTGTAGAGATGGCATCTCAGGGCTGAGGTGCCAGGTGTGTGCCCGTGGCTCCAGGGGAGGCTTCCCACGTTGCACACCCTGCCCTGCCTGCTTCACCCCCTGGGACCGGTGCCTGGCTCGGCTCCGGCAGCAAGTGGAAGCCATGGCCCAGGAGGTGGCGGCCCTGCGCCAGGGGCTGCCTGCCGGGAGACTCGGGGCCCGTGGGGTACCCCTGCAAGCCCTGGAGATGGCACTACAGCAGACACAGGCACTTGTGGAGACCCCCTCATCCTCTGTGGGGACCATGCAGAAACTCACCAAGTGGACAGCTGGACTCAGGCAAGGGGTCTGCCTTCAGCAGGGAGGGAGGCTCCAGCTAGCTTCCCCAGATCGGGCACTCAGAGGGTTGGTCGTCAGGCGTCCTGAGTCCTGGTTTGGAAGTCAGGTGGATTTCCTTGAGGGAAGAGCCACAGAACAGTGGGCATCTCTGAGCAGGCTGATGCCCCATCTCGGTTCCCCCTAGGAGGGATGTGACTACATTGACCCACACACTGAATGCCACGGAACAGGCCGTGGCTGACAGCAGACTACGGGTCAGGGGACAGCGTGAACGCCTGGAAGCATTATCCTGGAAGCTAGATTGTGTCAAAAGCTTGTCAAGGGCCATAGGGGCCCTAGAAACCCAAGGTGAGACCGCTTGGGCAGACGGGTTGCTGGCAGGTGATGTCTGGTGCAGGAGGAAGGGTGTGTGTATCTGGGGGACCCATGGAGCTGATCACCTGCCCTAGTAAGTGGAACCAGGACCCTGTCCTACATCAGCTTGTCCCATTCTTCGCAGATGCTGGTGCTCAGGCCTCTTCCGCGGCCCTGCTTTCTCAGAAGGCCATGCTCAGAGCCCAGGCTGTGGCCGCATTTGGAGAGCCAGACAATATCCTGGGGCAGGCCCAGCAGACCCGGCGGTGGACGGAGCAGCTGCTTGGGGGGACAGGCCAGCCCACAAGGGGAACTCTGTGGGGGCTGAAGCTGAAGGGGCTGGTCAGCCAAGTCCAGATGCTGCAGCTGCAGCTGCTGGGGCTCTCTGTCAGAGCTGGAGTGGTGGGTGGGGACGCACAGCACTGTTGGGGGTGGGGGAGTATGACCAAGGTGAAAACTCTTGTAGGGGATGTCCCCCTGGTGCAGGACATGCATTTCTCTGGGACATGCATTTCTCATTGGATCCCTCATCTTGCTTACAGGAATGCAGGGGTCGAGGACCTGGGCTAGCCTGTGTTCCTGCAGCCTGTGGGTTTCCTCCCTGCCCTGGGACCCTGCCCACTGCCCAGTGGGCTCTGGTTGTTTCCCGTAACTCCTCCCACAGCCTGGACACATCAGTCACCACCTTGGAGCAGCAGCAGCAAGTGGTACAGAGTCCTGGAGGCCGTGGGTGGGAGCAGTGGGCCAAGTCTCAGGGAACCATAGTGCGGTCACAGGACGGCAGGAAGCATGTTCCACAGGGAATCTTTTCCTACTAGCTTCAGCAAATCCAGGCTACAGCAAGCTCCTTGGAGACGCGGGCCTGGGACACATGGCGTCGTGCACGGGGGCCCTGGGGTGTGAGTGCCGTGGCTCGTGTGCAAGCAGCCGTGCAGACCATCCAGCGCTTCCTCATGGGTACATCTCTGTTTGTTCCGTTTCCCTTAGTGGCTTGAGGGCAGGGACAGGGGCATCCAGGACACTGCCACAGAACGCCTTCCAGAAGGGGCTGACCGGCGGGTGGAGGGTGGGGGCAGGTAGGATCACTCACAGACTGGTAAAAGTTTAACCAATTGGAAGAGGATGATGGGGAACTGATTGTTCACACATCTCAATTTCTATGGTGTAAATAATTCCACCAGGGCTGATTTTATGACCAATTTGCAACATTCCCGAACATTTGTAACAATTCCTGAACATTTGTAACAGTGGTGTGCCAGCCTCCAGCACACCAGGGGAAGTGTCTGGGACAGTTGGTGAGCGGTGGCCTGGCTTGGAGGCTGTTGGGTCAGGGGTGAAGGTCCAAGCCCTATCCTACCACACACAGATGAAGATGCAGATGTGACGAGTGTACATCTGGTGGCATGGCGAGTGCTGGCAGTGCCCCTCCCTCAAGGCGGGGCAGCAGGCATTGGCCTCCTGCTGGATCAGATCCAGGGTTACCACCCTTCACCAGGAGCCGTGGGTCAGGAGTTGCCCCAAGCCAAAGGCATCCTCCATCAGGCACAGCAGACCAGGTGAAGGACCAGGAGGCTGGAGATGGAGGTGCGTGGGTGGTAGGGAAGGGATCTTCAACTGAGCATCTGTGCCCTGCAGAAAAGGCACAGCCAAGGTACACAATCAAGTGATGGATATTCAGGGCGCACTGACTGAGGTGGGGAGTCACACAAGAGCTGTGGAACAAGGGCTTCGGGCAGCAAAGTGGGCTCTTGGAGGCCTGGAGGCCAGTGTGCAGGAGGTGATTTCCTAGCTGAGTCCCTCAGCCCCTTGACCCCTCTTGTTCAATGCCTGTTGTGATCCCATCCCTTCCTGGGAGCCCTGACCCACTGTGAAGCCAAGATACTAGCTGCTACCATGTTGCGATCCCTCGCTGACTCTCTGACCATTGCTCCAGGCAGCAGTGCACCTAAACCAGGTGGCGCTGAGAACAGAGGTGGCCCCTGTCTTGGGACACCTGTCCAGTGCAGCCAAGGCCCTCAAGATGCGATGGGCCCTGAATCAGCAGCAGGCCCAGGAGGCAGACAACCAGGCAGCCCGGGCCATGGATGTGGCTGGGGACCTGGGCAAGGTGAAGTGGGGAAGTGAAGTAGGTATTTCGGTCTTGGGGACTCCTCTGGGGCAGGGGGGCGGGGGGTGTTGTAGGCCGGTGCTGAGGCATCATCTCAGTTCCCGAACTCGTTGCCCACCTCCCACCCACCACCCACCCTTGCCCGGGAACCTTAGACCTGGGTGGAGTGGCATGTCATGTCCAGTTCCTGTTCTAGGAGTTGCAGGTGGCCTGGTTAGGTGTGGCAGAGTTGCAGGAGGGCACCTATGATCTGGTGGCCATGATGAAGGAAGCAGGGGAGCGGGTGCAGCGGGCACAGGCTGAGGCCCAGGAGCTGCTGAAGCAGGCATGGAGCACCTGGAACCGTCTGGAAGGTGTGTGGAAGGTGTGGCCCTCCTGGGGAGGGGGGCCCTAGAAACTGGGCAGGCACAGGTCCAGAACTCATGTAAGGGTCAAGGCTGGGGTCAGTGTTCAGAAAGGGGCAGAGCAGGAGAAGGTCAGGTGTTGACTAGAGTCAGGGCCAGGGTCATAAAAAGGCTGAGGACCAGTGTTAGAGGTCAGAGCCAGGGGTCAGAACTTGGCTCAGTCAGCCTGACCCCCAGGCTTGGAGCATCGCCTGGCGCAGAACGAACAGGCCCTGGGCAAGAAGGCGGCCACTTTGCGGGCCCTGGAGCAGCGAGCTGCTGAACTGCTTGAATACATGCGACGGAGCGCCAACACCTATGCCACCTGCTGATGACCATTGCTGGATGCTAGCCAAGGGACCCTGAGATCACGGGGGTGATCAAAGTCCCACCAGATGAACTCAGGAGCACCCCCACCCCCACCCCATCTGGAAAGACTAGTGACCTCCTCTGACCTTGAGAAACCAGAAAAGCATGTAACTAGAGTAAACCAATGAGGCCCTCCACAGCAGCTGCAGTTCAGGGCAGACCCTTATCACTGAGCTATTCTATAAAACCTTAGTCTCCTCTAGCTTTCCTGTTAACTACACCATCCCCAGAGTGGCCCGGCATTCTGATTTCCTATGGGAAAGTAACCCTGAAAGGTCAGCGGATGGACATCCCTTCTCCTGGCACCTCCTGTGAAGGCCAGATGATTCTGAAAACCTCCGTTTTCTCCCATGGTCCTCAGTTCCGGATGTTCCCTGCCCAACCAGACCACTCCGTGGTCCCCAGGTCCCAGGGGCCTGGGTGTGGCACGGGCCTGCCAGCAGCGCGCATTCCAAACCCAGGGTCTGGCGCTCCCGGCGAGCTGGAAGGTCCGGAGCGGATCACGAGGTCAGGATTCGCTCGCAGTGACTGGTCCAGTTGTATACCTGGAAACCGAGGCAGTGCCGCTCTTGCGGGAATGGCTGTGGGGCTGGAGAAACAGCACTGCCACTCTCGCCCCCACAGCAGTCGAGACCATGCCTTGGGCAGGGCTTTCCTACCCCCTCTCCGCACATCCCCGAATAAAGGAGCACCGCAGTGTCCTAACCGAGTTCTCCGGCCTCCGCACCGATGCTGATGCGCTGGAAGTTGATGGTGACTTCCACGGCCCCCACCACGCTGGGGCCAAAGGCTACGCTCCTTGTCCGGATGTTTTTGTCTTTGAAGATCAGACTTTTCACTGCAAGGCCCCTCTGTTGTGGCCTAAAGACCCCAAACCCCTTAACTCCCTCCAGGCCCTGCCCAAATCGGGGTATGAAAGCACAATAAAGCCTTTTCAAGTGAGCCGGCTGCTGTCCTGTACTTCGGGTGAAGGCCAATTCCGAAGGGGGAGCAGATTAAGGACGGGGGTGGGTGGGAGGGTGGAGCTTCGCATGGAGCTAAGCTCCCTCATAAGATCCGCTCCGTGTTTTACTTCTTGCCGCATCTCCCAACTTTACTCAAAGTCTCTGAACCCGGGAGTGGAGGCACAGAACTCAGTCCGCTGGGAACCCACCCAGTACTCACCCCGGGGCTGGGTCAGCGCCAGGCCACGAGGGGAGGGAACGGCTGGGTACGGACCCCCAAACCCCTCACTTCTCATCCGGATTCCCTTCCACTTTAGGATGGAGTGGGCCGCAGGGGAACGCAGGAGGGGCCGGTGGGGACTGCCTGCGACCTGGGAACTTGGACTGGGCCTGCTTCTGAGCGGTGAGGGGGTTTGGTGACGGCTGGGGTGGGGATAGGGGCTTCTAGATGTGTGGGTGGGTTCTGGGGTGGCAGTCTCTGGTGGCCATATAGAGGGGCTACCCGGTGGGAGCACAGCAAAACTAGCTCACCCACTGCCCCCAGTACTGGCCTCCGCCCAGGCCCTGGCCAAGGCTCCAGTCCCCGATGCACCAGGCTGCTCAAGGGGAAGCTGCTATCCGGCCACGGGGGATCTGTTGGTGGGCCGTGCAGACAGACTGACCGCCTCGTCCACCTGTGGCCTGCGAGGCCCCCAGCCCTATTGCATCGTCAGCCACCTGCAGGTGAGTAAGGTGACCAGACGTCCAGCTTTTGGCTGGACAGTCCCGATTTTTGGCGTTTTAAAGAAGTCCCGGTTTTTTGAAAGAATGCACGACAAGCTAGGGAATGGTCTATTTGGTCCATATAGACCAAACTTTTAATCAAGACCACCCTCCCCACCCCCCCCACCCCCCGTCAATGGTGTCCAACTTTAAATCTGGTCTCTTTAAGGTGAGGGGAGTGGAGCCATGGAGGGCTGGGGGTTGGGGGCCGGGGGGGGGGGCAAAGTGCACCCCTACCCCAAGAGCTGCACTGACTCTAATCCCCACCCCCACCCCCTCACCCAAACCAGGACGAGAAGAAGTGCTTCCTCTGCGACTCCAGACACCCCTTCTCTGCTAGACACAATCCCAATAGCCATCGCATCCAGAACGTAATCACCAGCTTTGCGCCCCAGCGCAGGACTGCCTGGTGGCAGTCAGAGAATGGTGAGAGGAGATGTGGCTGGCCGGCTGGCTGGGGGTGTAGGGAGAGCAGGGCTGCTGGGCCGCAGCCGTGAGTCCCTGATCTCCGGTTCCTGACCCAGGTGTGTCTGCGGTAACCATCCAGCTGGACCTGGAGGCCGAGTTCCATTTCACACACCTCATCATGACTTTTAAGGTGCTAGCAGCTTGTCTGGGACCCCGCCTGAATTGCCCTACTTAGCTAACTGTGGCCCCGGGCCTGAATTGCCCTACTTAGCTAACTGTGGCCCCGGGACAGAGCCCCAGTCCCAGGACCTTAGAGCCCTTCTCTCAGGCTCTGTTCCACCACCTCCCACACCCCAGGCACCTTAGGTCTCCAGGCTTTTGTTCGTGCCCCAGTTCCAGCCTGGGACAGATGCTCGCTCTCTGGCCCTTATCAGCTTCTGCACTAGAGATGGCTATGTTCTCTGGTCATTTCCTGGTTTCTGGTGATCAAACCCCCCCTCCCATTTGAAGACAGATAAGGTCAGGCTGGGCTGGGCAAGGCCCTCAGTGGGCCTGGGCCCTCTCCAGTCCTGCATGCCCCCTTATGAGCCATGCCCTCTGTGCAGACGTTCCGCCCCGCTGCCATGCTGGTGGAGCGCTCGGCTGACTTCGGCCGCACCTGGCACATCTATCGATACTTCTCCTATGATTGTGGAGCTGACTTCCCAGGCGTCCCTTTGGGCCCCCCTCGGTATTGGGATGATGTCGTCTGTGAGTCCCGGTACTCAGAGATTGAGCCATCCACTGAAGGCGAGGTGAGGGCTGGGGCCTGGGCAGGGACTGCTGTTGTGGGGGATGGTGGGCCTGCGGCCAGAGCCAGGGTTTCTAAGGACAGCCTGCCCCTACAGGTCATCTACCGCGTGCTGGATCCTGCCATCCCCATCTCAGACCCTTACAGCCCACGGATCCAGAGTGAGTGCCCCACTCCCCAGCCTGGCATGACCCCAGTGTCCGGCTGGTGGCTATTTGGGGCCATGGTAGCTATTTTGAGTGTTTCATAGGGCAGGTGCCAAGCCCAGTTTAGCTTGGGTAGCCATAGATAGGAGGTCTCTCAAGGTGACCTTGGCCGCTTCAGTCCTCGGGTGGGCATGGGTCAGCAAGGCCTGGCCAGCAGCCCGCCAGCCACATTCTCCCCCCTCAGACCTGCTGAAGATTACCAACCTCAGGGTCAACCTGACTCGGCTGCACACGCTTGGAGACAACCTTCTTGACCCCAGGCGGGAGATCCGAGAGAAGTACTATTATGCCCTCTATGAGCTGGTCGTGCGTGGCAACTGCTTCTGCTATGGACATGCATCCCAGTGTGCCCCTGCCCCTGGGGCGCCAGTTCACGCTGAGGGCATGGTGAGGGGTTTGAGACAGTGGGGTGAGGGCTGGGGGCAGGGGCAGGCAGGGCTGGACAGCTCTAACCCCCTCGCCTACCTACTCCACCTAGGTGCATGGGGCCTGCGTCTGCAAACATAACACACGGGGCCTCAACTGTGAGCAGTGCCAGGATTTCTACCATGACTTGCCCTGGCACCCCGCTGAAGATGGCCACAGCCATGCCTGCAAGAGTGAGTGTGAAGCTGGGCCCTGGGGGCTGGACCATGCCTTGGATGGCCAGGATAGAACCTAGCACTGGTTGGCCAAGCCCCAAAGGTTCAGACTATATCCAATGGGTACCTAAACCTTGATGCCCTTCTCCATAAGCTGTCCAGGGAAAAGGCCCAATGAGACCCTGAAGTCTCTGAACCCCTAAGTCCCGCCCATAAATGCTGGCCTACCTCAGAGACCGAAGGAGGTGCTGGGGACAGGCTCCACCCCTTCCCCTTGAGGCCATTGTCCTGTGCCTTTGCTTGGTTTCTTTCACCAGAGTGTGAATGCAATGGGCACTCACACAGCTGCCACTTCGACATGGCTGTGTACCTGGCATCCAACAACGTGAGCGGAGGCGTGTGCGACGCGTGTCAGCACAACACAGCCGGGCGCCACTGTGAGCTCTGCCGGCCCTTCTTCTACCACGACCCAGCCAAGGACCAGCGGGACCCGGCTGTCTGCCGCCGTGAGGCTGGGGCCAGGCGTGGGGAGGGTGGCCAGGCCTGGGGTAGGAGCTGGCGGGACCGAGGACTGCTGCTGTCCGGGCGTCAGGGAGTTGGGATTAGGAGCTCAGGAGAGAGACAGACTGGAAGCCCGGGTGTAGACTCGGAAGAGGACAGGGCCTGGGCCAGCTGGGAGAGGGTGACCCTGCACCTCTTTCCCCCCCAGCCTGTAATTGTGACCCCATGGGTTCCCGAGACAGCGGCCGCTGTGATCCCCATGATGACCCTGCGTTGGGGCTGGTCGCCGGCCAGTGTCGCTGCAAGGAACACGTGGCAGGCACCCGCTGCCAGCACTGCCGCGACGGCTTTTTCGGACTCAGTGCCAGTGACCCCCGGGGCTGCCGGAGTAGGTGTCTCCTGCCCTGACACTTGCCAGACCTTTAATTCTCGACCAGCTGAACCAAAGCCACAACTCCCAGGTGCTCATGAGACCCTTTCCTACAGGCTGTCAGTGTGATGGCCGCGGCACAGTCCCTGGGGCCACCCCATGTGACCCCAACAGTGGAGCCTGTTTCTGCAAGCGTCTGGTGACTGGACGTGGCTGTGACCGATGCCAGGTGCTGCTGGAGCGGGGTGGAGTCCTGGAGTGGTGGACTTGTCCTCAGAGTGCAGGGCTGGGGCATGCTGTACTGGATGGGTGCTTGGGGCTTAGAGAGGACTCAGGTGTGGGAGGCCAGATCACCAAGAGGTGCTTGAGGCTGAAAGCCAGTGGTAGGGTCCTTGTTGGGTGGCAGGGGGTCTGTTTCTGGCACCCAGCGACCCCTTCTTCCTCAGCCTGGCCATTGGGGCCTGAGCCACAACCTGCTTGGCTGCCGACCGTGTGACTGTGACATAGGGGGTGCCTTGGATCCCCAGTGAGTAAAACATACGGGGCCTGGGAAAGGGTGGGGGATTTCCAGGGAGAGGGGGCGTGGGGGGTGCTCTTCCCGAGTAACCAGAGTGCCTTCCAGGTGTGATGAGGTCACAGGTCAGTGCCGCTGTCGCCAGCACATGGTTGGGCGACGCTGTGAGCAGGTGCAACCTGGCTACTTCCGGCCCTTCCTGGACCATCTTACTTGGGAGGCGGAAGACTGCCAAGGCCAGGTGGGGGCTTGAGGTGGGGGAGTGTCCGGGCAGAGGACAGGGCAGTGGTGGGATGGGACCCGAGCTAGAGGGGCAGCTTAGGGCGGTGCTTGGTCAGAATGGAGGTGGGTGTACGCCTCTGGCTTGGGCCAAGCTTCTGTGGGAGACCTAGGATTTGGTGGGTGGGAGGGTGGCCAAAGTGGCATGCTGGCCTTGTCCAAGCCACCACCCTCGACCTGCCTCAACTCGTAGATGTTGGACGTGGTGGAGCGAGTTGCAACCACAGGGGTCACTCCGTCCTGGACTGGGCCAGGCTTCGTGCGGCTTCGAGAGGGACAGGTGCTCGAGTTTCTGGTGGCGTCTGTGCCACGGGCCATGGACTACGACCTGCTGCTACGCTTGGAGCCACAGGTCTGACCCTGTGAAAATTGACTCTGAACCAGCCTTTGTGGGGTGGGGGCACCTCCTGCAGCATCCTGTCACCCCCAGGCTCCCGGTCAGTGGGCAGAGCTGGAGCTGACAGTGCAGCGCCCAGGGCCCGTGTCTGCTGGCAGCCCGTGTGGGCATGTGCTCCCTCAAGATGACCGTATCCGAGGGACTCTGCGACCAGACGTTAGGTGAGACCACTGACTGCAGCACCCTTAGGGGTGGGGGTTGTGGGACCTGCCTAGATTTCTTTGCAGGGCACCAAAGAGCCCACTGGCAGCCAGGAGACCACCCCTGAGCCCCTTCCTTCATACAAGTGGCTCCTCCCAAGTGCTCGCCTGACACCGTTGAGCACGGCACTGAGGAAGGAAGTAGACAGAATGGGGCTCAGTCTCTTGAGAATCAAAGGCCCGGGGCCCAGTCCGGGATGAACAGAAAACCACAGCATCATCATAGGGTGTACCCATGGAGACAGCTCAGTTGGAGAGGTGGGCAAGGATGAGGGCACCAGAGCTCTGCCAAGCCAATCCCGAGCTTGGATTTTGTCCTTAGTGGGCCAGGGTGGGGGAGAGGGTACATTGGAGCACTTCCAGCAATGATTAGCTGGTCCGATTGATGTCTTGTTATATGTGATAAGAGGTTTGCTTCATGTATCCATTTTCCTCACTAAAAGAAAAGACTATTGAGCCTTCGGTGAAAGTTTCACACAGCAAGTCAGATCACCGTTTGATAATTTCAGCACAGACTGTACAGTGACATTCATTATAATGATCACACCGTGTCAACCCGCTCTTTAAGGGGTTCGACCTGTCCTCTTTCCAGTACTTCCCCCTTGTCTTGTCTTCGGTTCTGAGACGTTGTTGACCCTTTGGTCTCAAGTCTAGCGCTGATCTCGGGGACAAATCGCCTTCGTTTTGTGGGCCACTCTGCTATTTTGCTAAAAGACCATCTCGGGATAGGCTTGGTGTTAGGTTTTGCAGTGTCTCAGAGTGACAGTCTCAGGGAGTGCTCTGTTCTCTGCTGGTCCAGTGTGGTTCTGCTCCACATCTCTGTCCATGCTATCTGGGAACATCTGCCGGGATCCCCGTCAGCACTGTCAGTGGTGGGAGTCAGGGCACCATCTAGTTCTTCTGGTCTCAGGGCAGGTGAGGTTGTGGCACCTGGAGACCTCTTCTCTGAGCTCTTGGTTTACTGCCTTACAAATTTGCCTTTGGTCAGTTGAGACCTGTGTCTTGGGTGGGCACTCACAAGTTCTTAAATGAGCTGCTAAGACCTCGGCTGCTACTCAATGTCACTAGAATGCAGAGCATGATTTTTGTACATTACCATATACACTCATGTATAAGCTGAATTTTTCAGCACATTAAAAATTTTTTTTTTCTTTTTAATCATTTTATCGGC